CCATCTACTCACCAATATATTGTTGAACTATTCAAATAAGACACTCACCTGGAACGTGTAGCTTTTGAACTAATGAGAATAACTGACATTTGAGTGAGTCAGGTTAGTATCGTACTTGAACAACGTATTAATGAATAGATGACTGCGGAACTCGCTGCGCTCGTCCCGCAGAGGTCTACCCATAAGTTCCGCAATAATCCACTTATTTGTACAGGGTGTTTTTTATAGACTGACACCCCACCTACAGCCTTTACCTTTACAGGTAGAAGAGAGGTGTAAATACGAAAGTTGTACAGTTTTGGCTGAATTTTTAGAAACTATGGTCAGGAACAAAAATTGAATGTCAGAAATGTAAAATGTTGCATGCTTTCAGCTTTTCTGAAATAGGATGCCCTATATTTGGTTCTATATTCTTGAGGAGCACAATTTCCTGATTCCAAAACTATATAGCTTGTCTATATTTTTAAAAATACTACCAGAAAAACCAAGTACCTACTTCAAATTTTACCTGCAGCTTTTACCTGTACAAGTAGAATGGTTCACAAAATCAGTAGTAGGATAGTATGTTTACAATTTTTGAAGCCGAATATATGAGAGACTGTTCATTCAAATATAAACAAACTATATATTTTTGGAATCGGGGTATTGTTCTCTTTAAGAATATAGAATGAAATATAGGGCATCCCATTCGAAAAAAGTTAGAAGCAAGCAAAATTTCCCATTTCTGACATTCAAATTCTGTTTCTGACCATGGACAACTTTTGTAAAGGTGAAGACTGTAGGTGGGGTGTCAATATATAAAAAAACACCCTGTGCACAATTGAATTTCCGTACTACGACTTTTTGTGAAATTTAAAACAAGGCCAATCATATACATAAAAATGCTGTATTCTGCATAGAATATACAAAAAGCCTTTAGACTAATTTGAATTGTTAGTGACTTCACTTGTGAAGAAAAACTCACATGACCTTAAGTCTGGGAATCTAAGTAGTCAATCCTTGGACCTTCAACTTCTAATGCACTAATAAAATCCAAGATTCAAATATACAGATATCTGATAAGAAAATAAGGAAGCTTATCCATATAAAATTTTTTTGTGGCAATTATTGTCCACTCCAGACAAAATCGATCATCTTGGACGCATCATCGAAATTGGTCTCCCCTTTTCTTATACATTGAAATGAACCGACGACGTCAGCGGCGCACAAAATTCTATTATATCCTTTGTGTCTTCGAGCTCAAAGCGCGAACTTATTGAAAGCCTGTCAGCAGTCCTTTAAAACACCGGAGAATACGACAAGGGGATCGAATTTGTTCGTGTATTGTCCCAGCTTGATATCTATATACGCAAACTGGATTATGTAAATTTTAAGATTTTCATATGCCAGATATATGCGAGACGGATTTTTATTCGGGGGCGTTTTTTTTTTGCAGGTCAATTAATAAATTTCAGGCTGAAAACTTTCCCACAAATTGCAAACTCTGGTATCTCGTAAAGGAGTTCTTAACCTAGGGGCTTTTGTTCTAATTTAAAAGGGCTCCAACCCCGACCCTTAGACGTTATGGTGGGGAAAGCATATTGACTATTTGGCTCTATATAGTTGAGAGTCACGATATAACCTTTTTATAATAAAAAAAGGTATTAGACAAGAGGCTTTAAATTGTTATCTATTAATGGTAAAAATTGCAATCAAGAAACAGTTCTAGAATTAAGTCTCTTCGGATTTTGTTTTCAAAATGTTTTTCGTCTCAATAAATTCGTAAGAGCCTTTCAAATATTCAATGATCCAATTTTTAGCCTCTTGGATTCTTTGAAACTGAAGCTTTCAGAACTCGAAATTTCATGCAACTAGAGTTTACATGTCTAATATTCTAGCACAACTTCATTTTCAGATTGACCATTGACCCGAGGTTAATTTTCTAGTTCAATTCCAGTTCTAATAGAGCTGGGAATAGATTTTTTGTCACGATTATCTAGCTCAAAAATTAGTTGTATCTGAGTTGCTCTAACACAATTGGCAAGAACAATATTTAAATGTTGCTTTGCTTCTATGCATACATTAGCCCGCCTCTGACAGTTATGGCCTGATTTCTATAAACCAAATGTCTACTTTATAAGCCCCCGATGATGTGTATGTAAAGTGGAAATTTGAAAGTCAAAATTTTCTCAATTTTCATCAACTCTGTTTAATTAAAATTATTTGTATACCTACTCTCACTTAAATCATTTATGGGAAAGGAAAATCCTAGAAATGTTAAATATTATATAAAAGTATTTTCAATTTGAATTTAGAGCCCTATGGGGTTTCTTGAAAAGGTCAATTAGGGTATAAATTGACTTTTCTAGGATTTATAGCATGCTAAAAAGGTCAAATAATATTATAAGAGCGATATCTTTAAATCTCATAGATTATAATGTATTTTGAACCCTAAATTCCTTGAGAGGCTTAATTAGGGTATAAATTGGCTACTCTAGTACCAGACACAATACAATACAAATTTAAGATGCAAATTCTTAAGCATACCCAAATTATAACTTATTTTTTCAAGAACTACGACCTCCAACTAGAGTTGTGCCCTTCGGGTACGCCACAGGTCTTAGAGCAGTCAATTTGTACACTAATTGAGTATCTAAATGGACTATAGAGACTCAAAATACTCAAAAATACTGAAATTTCAATGAGCAAAACTTTGATGAAACATTAAAAAAATATCTTTGAAAATTACCAATACAAAATAAAAAATCATCTTCCCGAGATTACGAAAACTTAAAGACATGCACCTTGTACACATAATAGTGCAGGTTCTAGAGCAATCAGTTTATACACTAATTGAGCTTCTTAGGGCACTGAACTGAACCCAAAAGGACCAAATTACAAGAAAAAAAGAATCATTTTCCAGAGATTTCTACCTTACGAAATTAGGAAGACACCTTGTACACATGTATTAGCTCAGGTTCTAGAGCAGTCAGTTTATGCAGTTACTGACTTTCTTAGGGAACTGAGTTCAAAATACTCAAATTTCAATTAGCAATAAATAAACGAAACATTGAAAAATATTTTTTGGGAATTTGGCTACGTCACAGGTTCTAGAGCAGCCAGTTAATACACTAATTAAGTGTCTTATAGATCTGAATTGAGCCCAAAAGGACCAAAATACAAAATAAAAAATCATCTTTTAAAGATTTCTACTTTACGAAAACTTAAAGACATGCACCTTGTACACATAATAGTTCAGGTTCTAGAGCAGTCAGTTTATGCACTAATTGAGCTTCTTAGGGCACTGAACTGAACCCAAAAGGACCAAATTACAAGAAAAAAAATCATTTTCCAGAAATTTCTACCTTAGGAAATTATGAAGACACTTTGTACACATATAATAGCTCAGGTTCTAGAGCAGTCAGTTTATGCACTGAATGAGCTTCTTAGGGAACTGAGTTCAAGATACTCAAATTTCAATTAGCAATAAATTAACGAAACATTGAAAAATATTTTTTGGGAATTTGGCTACGTCACAGGTTCTAGAGCAGCCAGTTAATGCACTAATTAAGTTTCTTATGGAACTGAACTGAACCCAAAAAGACCAAAATACAAAATAAAAAATCATCTTCGTGAGATTTCTACTTTACGAAAACTTAAAGACATGCACCTTGTACACATAATAGTTCAGGTTCTAGAGCAGTCAGTTTATGCACTAATTGAGCTTCTTAGGGCACTGAACTGAATCCAAAAAAAAATTACAAGAAAAAAATCATTTTCCAGAGATTTCTACGTCACGAAATTATGAAGACACCTTGTACACATATAATAGCTCAGGTTCTAGAGCAGTCAGTTAATGAGTTTCTTAGGGAACTGAGTTCAAAATACTTAATAGTTTAATGATACATTAAAAAATGATCTTTGAGAATTTGGCTACGTCACAGGCTTTAGAGCAGCCAGTTAATGCACTAATTAGGTTTCTTGTGGAACTGAACTGAACCCAAAAGGACCAAAATACAAAATAAAAAATCATCTTCCAGAGATTTCTACTTTACGGAAATTTAAAGATACCTTGTATGTAGTTCAGGTTCTAAAGCAGTCAGTGGCTACGTCACAGGTTCTAGAGCAGTTAGTTTATGCAGTTATTGAGTTTCTTATGCCGGTTTTCCACCAAACCGACAAAACAAAAACAAAACTTAAACTCAGACAAAACTCCAACTTTTCCCAAACATTTTCAAGATTAGCGTGTTTTGCTCATTTGGAGTTTTGTTTTTCGGGTTAATTTCGAGTTTTAAAACATGTTTTAAAACAAAAACTCAACAGTCCGTTTGGTGGAAAACCGGCATTACGGAACTGAACTGAACCCAAAAGGACCAAAATACAAGAAAAAAATCATCTTCCAGAGATGCACTGCACATGCAAACACACTTTACGAAAATTTGAAGACACCTTGTTTACATAATATCTCAGGTTCGAGAGCAAACAGTTTATGCACTAATTGAGCTTTTTAGGAAACTGACCTCAAAAAGCTCTAAATTGGCAAATTACTTTTGAGAATTTGGGTTCGTCATAGGTTCTAGAGCAATCAGTTTATGCAATAATTGAGCTTCTTAAGGAAGTAATCCCAAATAGCTCAAAATACTGAAAATCTAAGAATGAATGAAATTGGTTACCTATATATCCTCTTTCAGAGATTTCTACTTCACAAAAGTATAAAGGTTTAGGGTACCTACTAAAAAATAGCTCAATTTTTTAATTTGATTGAACAAAGCAAAATTATACAAGGTGTTCCATAAACACATCACAAAGTGTGTCAATTATGTGCTGTACTCACCCTGTATATTGCAAAATTCTGTAATTGTGCTTTTTATTGATTTTATCTCATTAGTTTCGGTGATTTCAACTACTTTTATCACAGGAAATTTCAAATACATTTTATCATTCGTATTGTAATTCTCTTTGTACTTCAATTTACCATCCTCTTAAAGCTTGTTTTGATGTAATTTTTTGATTTGTTTCAGATACAAAATTGAAATTTACGAAGTGAATAGTTGGGGGCACATGAGCTCGAGCCCCGGAGCAGTTCAGCCCGCCCTCCATTGGGGAAATGCGTGAGCTAGACTGCCAACTGAGGAAGTATTTCCAGAGAGAGAGCTCTTACATTCATGTGCACCCTCTGCCTCACTTTGACGGTAAGAACAAACTTTATCTATTTTAGTCGGCGACACACAAAATTTCCATCTATAAAAGGCACTTTTATCGCTAGTTCCGTGTTTCCTAAATTAGGCAAAGTCATTATGAATAATTCAGTGTCTTCACTCGAAATCTAGCTTCGGTTCTAGCCGGAATTAGGGGCAACAAGCGCTCGCTCGTAATTTTAATATAAATTTCTTGTTTATGTGTAGACAGAAGGGTATAAATTGGATGGATGTTGCTTTTGGAGATTTTCACTCCCATCGAAAAATACCTAATCCATTAATCCCCCGAATCGGATCGTATACGGATTTTTCGCATTGTATACAATCAAAGGCGCTCCCGATTCTCTGTGAAAAATTGTAATTGAAAATTAAACTCCAGGAGAGCGTAGGTGAGCCTTTCAATTTCGGCTCCAATCAAGTGTAGCTCCCCCTTGAAATTCCATTACACGATAATGCCCTTTTGAGGATATATAGAAAAGCGAGAAAAAGTTTTTATTTTTATTATAAAGGAAAGTTGTAGGTATTACTTTGGCAATCGGAAAAGAGTTTTGCTGACGTTATCGGACATTTAATAATAATCTTTGTTAATTATATTTCACTATGGACTGTTTTGTATTCAAGGTGATCTGAAAACTTTTGCCATTACGAGAATCCACAACAAACATCTACGTACGTGCTTCAACGAAACTTTGTGCCACTAGGGAGTAACTTAAAAAGCGTTTCACATTCAAATGTTTCGGACAAGATCAACGAAAAATACAAAAGTTTATGTCAGAAAAGTTTTGAAGGACGATACGTCTTTTACAATCCACTTTTAAGCAAATGGAAAATTGATTATGATATTCTTCACTATACTTATAAAGGAAAAAATTTCATTTATTTGAAAATCTCGACCCCAATTCCAATAACCCTTTATGTCTCCTTCAAAAAGAAAATTATTGAATTTATTCCACATCCCAGTGTGTCCTAAATATTTATAAAATTTCCAGCTCAGGTCCATAATCCCTGACACCGTTCCAGATACGAGACCATTCGTGTTAGAAATTGAACCATCAACTGATAATGGCGAATCCTAAAATCGAGTTTTACGTATGCTTATCTTAAGAATTGAAGCAATAAGTTTATAAATCTCACTTCGGGATTAATTGCCGTACACGCGAAGAAAAATTAACTCGTTCCTTTTTCCCGGGGACTTAAGTGATGTTTCCTAGCTTTTAAGGGCAGCCCCATTAATTTCATTCAGTTTGATTTATTGCCCGGCCGAAGAATCCACACTATAATTCCAAATTAAATACTGACTGAAAAAAATTCGTATAGCTTTGGGTCTTTCTCCAAATTGGTTTCCTCTTTAGAGAAAATACTAATGGCTTAGAGGCATGTTATAGCGCAATCTAAATATTAATAATGGAAAAATAAATGAAGGGTTTGATAATTTTAGGTAGCAATTTATTATTGTTGACATTGTTGAAGCACCCATGGTCGGACAGAAAGACAAAGATAATATCCCATTTATAAACATTAAACAGCAGTGTAGAGAGCACTGTGGCACACCAAATTCCACCTTCAGCTTCTCACTTTCCTCCCCTAGAATTTGAGTACTTTGATGCCTTTGCAGGTATGATTCAATCAGATCATTAGAGATCCCTCTTACCCCCATTTTTTCCAGCCTTTCAAGTAAAATCTGATGTGCCACAGTATTAAATATTTTCTGTAAATCTATAACCCTTCTACCCTGATCCAAATGTTATAATATTGTTTCTGTAAGTCCACATAATGCATTCTCTTTGATCGAGTTTTCCCTGAAAGCAAATTGATTTTTGTGCAACAAATTATGCATGTTTTCTCGAGAAAAAAACAGTAATTTATTTCTGAAGGATTTTTCATTGATCTTGTTGACAGTATAGTTAGGTATTCATTGATTTTCATTGATTGTTGCACTTTTCAAAACCTCAGGGAAAACTACTGTCATAACAATAACATTGATAATGTGTATCAGTGGAATTACTAAATTGCCTTTGTACTCTTTAAATATATCCGAGCAAATGCCATCCTCCCCCCCCTTTACCCCATTTTTGGCTCAGTTATTCTAATTTCGAAACTGGATTGAGGAGAAAAGAACCCACTGCGCTATGAATTCTTTTGCAATTTGCTCTCCATTTGTTATTACATATTACAGACCTACTGCAGTTCATGCTGTTTATTTCTACTTTGGAAACCTGGTCGTTTGTGGCCTCTATTATGATTCTCCATACTTTTTTGGATCACCTGAGTTTTTTTGTGCTAATGTTTTATAATGTGTACATTCAATATTCTGAGTGCCTGAAAATTTCGGCTCATTTGGACCTATATTTCCCGAAATAAAATTGCGTTAAGCAGTTTGGGGTGAATTTATAAATTTTTCAATTTTCTGATGAATGCCTTTGTTCATAGATTTAGGTTTCAAATCTCAGAATAATTTAGTGTATAGAGTTTGGAGGGTTCCCAATAATCAATTGCACACAAAATATTAACATAAAAAAAATTAAAATTTCATCATTTTAGTACTAAGGTAGCTTACCTGATGATTTAGATTTTCAAAAACTTTGAAGACCCATAACTTCTTTTCTATTACAGATAAAAAGCTGAAATTTTCAGCGATTTTTATTCTAGTAGAGGACTACAATCCCTGAAAATTTCAGCTCATTTTGATTTATAGTTCCAGAAATAAAATCGTGTTAAGCAATTTGGGATTATTTATCAATTTTTCAACTTTTCTGAGTGCCTTTTTTCATAGATTCTGGCTACAAATCTCAGAATAATTTAGTCTATGGAGTTTGGGGGATTCCAAAGGACCATTAGGATACAAAATCCCAACAAAAAAAATTGAATTTCATCGTTTTAGTAAGAAGTAAACCTTATGATTTAGATTTTGGAAAAGTTTGAATGGTCGCAACTTTTTTTCTATCAAAGATAGAAAGCTGAAATTTCCAGCGATTCTTATCCCAGTAGAGGACTACAATCCCTGAAAATTTTAGCTCATTTGGACTTATAGTTCCAGAAATAAAATAGCGTTAAGCAATTTGGGGTAAGTTTATCAATTTTTCAATTTTCTGAGTGCTTTTTTTGATAGATTTCGGCTTCAAATCTCAGAATAATTTGGTTTATGGAATTTGGGGCATTCCTAATGATCATTTAGACATAAAATCTCATCACAAAAAAAATTTAAATTTCATTATTTTACTACTGAGGTAGCTAACTTATGATTTGGATTTCTGAAGACCCATAACTTTGTTTCTATTATAGATAGAAAGCTGAAATTTTCAGTGATTCTTACCCAGTTGAGAATTACAATCCCTGAGAATTTTAGCTCATTTGGACTGATAGTTCCAGAAATAAAATTGCGCTAAGCAATTTGGGGTGATCCTGCACACTTCTTATGGGATTTTGGTTGAACGCGGAATTCAACTAAATTTTAGTAGGTTGTATATTTCGACCTCCTGAGTAAAAGTTCCCATAGGTACAAACCGATCCTATGACTAGTTTCGGATGTACGGCGGTTTTTCTGATACTACCTCAGGCAAACTGAAATTACTGAATTTTCATGCTTTCTAGGTTTGTTTGTTGTAGGTAGTTTCAGTGGCGTGTTTACTTATGGAAGCTAGGGAAGCACAGCTTCCCCTCGAGGATTTATTAAGAACACTAAACTAAACTTTATGTAGACATTTTCAAAAAGAAATATATGAAACTTGTGAATGGCTGACTGGTTCTGAAATTATAAGTCTCTCCTGCCCTGTACTTTCACCATCTTTCCCCACAGCTTCCCCCTCTGTTCAAGTCTGGACACGCCACTGGGTAGCTTCAAAAAATGTTAATTAAGTTTAGACCTTTTACGAAAAGGTTAAAAGGGGCATCAGATATAAGGTCTTCGTTTACACAGTAATTTACAGTGGACTAAATAATTTTATTCAGATGCAAATGAAATCATAGTATTTCACATGTTTAGCTAGGTAAAACAGTTTTCACTGGCGTTTGAAAGAAGTGACTACCCCTCCCGAACTCAGCGACATCTTTAAAAGAAGCGCTGAACACACGTTTGGTTTGAGTCTCTGTTAAAAATGACAGCAATCACCTCGTTGTTTGGCAGATTCTGATTAACTTGTGATAAAACATTATAATTTTCGAAAATTCTCTCCTATTCATTTTTTCCAGCATTTTACTATCCGAAATTTTGGAAATTTATTGTTGGTGTGCTACTCTAGGTATTCGTCCCTTTTTCATTTAAATCCATGACCAAAATTTGCATATTTTCAATAAAATTGTTAATAATTTTACTATTTAGCTGCGTATTTTGCAACCAGAAATGGGTCGACTTCTACTCCGATCTATTATTGTTATGAACATAACTTCATGAAGTGGTCTGAAAAGTGGTCTAAATTTGGAATAGAGTAGAAATTTGTGAAGGTCTGTAAATGACATTTTATTTAAACCCCCTCTTAATTTTTTTGAAGTTAGGTGCCTATATATGTATGTGTACGAGGGTATTTTGAAAAGTACTTGTTTGATGGGCCTTTGTGATAAAATAGCGATCACAGAAGGCTAGGCAGAAGGAACTGCGGACTTCTTAGTCCTTCCTTGACAGGGTTACTGTTTTTGTTTCCATGTTTACCAAGTAAAATATGACATGCTTATTTCATTGCTTTTGTTTCCATGGCTGTTTAGATTTTTCAAACAAATCATCATGGCAAAAAGCTTCATTGAGAGATAGAAAGTCACTTTCATCACAAAACGTAGGTACCTACAAGTACACAATTATTCACAATTTTGAACATTCTTGGTCATTAACTCAATAATCTTAATAATTAGACATAATTTTCGAGCGTCCCTGGTATGAAAAGGAAGAATGCCTATTCTACCAAATACTTTTAGTTGAGAAAAGATGAAATAGATAACTTTTCAAGCAATAAATGCAAGTTTTTTTGCTCTGTATACTTTATATGGGTAGGTATAGTCTGTCGATTTTAATCTATTAGGTACTCCAAAGGAATGTGAGCTGGTGGATCCCTACATTAGAACGCCAATGGTTACTTGACGTCCCACCTGTTTTTGCCATATGAAACACCCCCTCGCTCCTCATACGGAAAGTATCGAATAAAAAACGACGGTTGCCTAAGGTAATATTAGAAAAACCCCTGTATGTTCAAAACTAGTCATAGAATCGGTTTGTGCCCATGAGAACTTTTACTCAAAATGTCGAAATATACAACATACCAAAATTTGGTTAATTTCCGCTTTCAACCAAAATCCCATAAGAAGTATGCGGGGTCCTTTATCAATTCTTCAATTTTCTGAGTGCCTTTTATCATAGATTTAGGCTTCAATTCTCAAATTATTTAGCGTATGGAGTTTGGAGGGTCCTCAATGATCATTTAGACACAAAATCTCAATATAAAAAAAAATTTAATTTCATCATTTTAGTACTAAGGTATAATTTGGATTTTTAAAAACTTTGAAGACACATAACTCTTTTTCTATTATAGACAGAAAGCTGAAATTTTCAGCTATTTTTATTCCAGTAGAGGACTACAATCCCTGAAAATTTCAGCTCATTTGGACTTATAGTTCCAGAAATAAAATCGCGTTAAACAATTTGGGGTGATTTATCAATTTTTCAATTTCCTGAGTGCCTTTTCTCATACATTACAGTTGAAATTTCAAATTTTAATATTCTTGTAGAGGGCGACAATTTTCGTTGAAATAAAACTTTTATCGTAGCTCCTGCGATTATGAGGCCGATATAATATTTATATTACAAATTGACAAGGGCAAAGAGTTTTCTAAAAAAAGTCGTAACATAACTATGATTATAAAAAAATCTTCTGAGAGTTAAGTATAATTTGTGATTATTGTTTCAGAGCTGGAGAAGAGGATTCCTCTCGCAGCGCAGACGCCCTACTGCGCAGAACTGGAGGAGCTGCAGGAATTGCTCCACTTCCCCGAAGAAGTTGCTCTACGATTGGCCGACACCGAATACCAACTCTTTTATCAGGTAACAATAATAAAACAGTTTGAAAAACTTTCCGACGTGTTCAATTTTCGAACGGACAAAAGTTATGTAACTTCTTGACAAGTTAGATCACTGTGTCGGAAACGTGTATATGCAAACTAAACAAAACTCGCGTATTTTATTCGTTTGCCTTCTTGATATCCATCATCGAAAAAATTGCTTGTTATCCGTGCCAGTTCATGCTTATAAAGCGTTTTATCTTATCTTAGGGATCATTAATATTCTTTGGCCGCACAAATTCACAATTTAAACTTCGTTTTTCTGAAACGAATTCTCGACTCTTTGGGTTTAATTGCCTCAGTTTTTCAATTCTGGATTTGTCAGTATAGTAGCTTTCAAATAACGATTTTTTGTTTTAGTTTAGTGGAATAATTCATTAATCAAATTTATATTTTCAGGTACCGCCTATCGACTATCTACGACAGGTGACAACAGATTTAGGAGGTACCACCGGTACGTCTGATCCGCCAATATCGGGCAACGCGGCATCATCGTCTAAATCGTCAGTCGGTACGCTCATAAAGCGATTTAACGAGGTAAGAATCACTGAAAACACAAAGTAGCTTTGCTTAATTACCCTCATCCGTTTTGTGTAATCGTCTCTGTTGTCTCTTTAGATTTTAATTCAGGGACGTCCCCGTTTATTTCATAATATAGCAAACAATAACATTTGATGTGGATTACATTTAGCTACAGGACTTGCAATGAAAATTCTTGTTCTAGCTGCATGAAAAAAAAAATAAATTTGGCGCAGATTTTCCAATAAAAGTCAACCCCCGACGTAAAATGTTCAACTTGAGTGTAATTTACGATGGAAATTCGAGAACTCGAAGGACTATGAATGTCCGGTTAATTTATGGCGAATTTTGGATATTAGTGTTTGGTTTTAGTGGCGACAATTTTCATTGGAATAAAACTCTATACACCAAGATCGATATATTCTATTACAAGCCGACAAGGGCAAAGAGTTTTTTAAAACACGCGCTCGAGAACCAATCGATATAAGGGATGAACACTAAAAAAAATATATTCTTTTGAAGTTAAAGTTTGTATAACAAAACGAGGTCAATACATAATTTTTGTTGATTCAGCTCACATACCTTTTCTCAAAGTCAGGCAGCATATGGCCAATCCGTGTACGTGCAACCAACAGGAACAAATATCGCCCCAGAATTTTGTCTTGATTTTGTTTGCATCAAGCAAGTGAACCGTTATATTTTTGCTGAAAGCGAAAATGGAAATTTTAAATGTCGAATGTGGGGAAGAATGCGTCGCAATTGATTTTGCTTTTATTCAAATAAAGTTGTCGCTTTAAATTTCTACGACATACTAAAATCTAACATAAGAGTTTTATTTGCTAGAAACGCAATTCCAATTGTGAAATCTTCTTGCTTGAAATTTATCTTGTTCAAATCCTTCTGGTAAAACAATATAGCAGTTTCCAATTTAACAGCCAAACTACGCCTTCCTCAAAATTGAACCCTTAGGCTCTATAAACTTGTACGTCCCTGTCCCTCTCTCTTTCCAGCTTGGCCTCAAATAAATCAGGCCATTTAGCGGTCGGATTCGGCAGCCGGCAATCTATTTTCTAATTTCCACTGTAAATTTTCCAATGGGAAATTGAATGCGATGTATCGAATTTCGGAGTCGACGTTTGATGAAAATTCCCTGTTTTGACAATTTTTTTCAGGTTTTCATTGCCAAAATGTTTGATTCTAGGTTAGAGTTTTGATAATCTAATCCATCATTATATGTGATCACTCGATACTTTACATTTACATTTACTTTATATTCATTCAAATACACAGGAGGTTTTCTCCTTCTTTTGTTATTTGACTGATTCATGTTTCCAAGAGAATGATTAGATTTTTGTCTTGATGCCTCTTTTACATTGGTATTAGAAGTATCAGGACAATCTGGTTGAAATTAGTCATTGAAAAAATTTGTACTATCTGAGTCACTATCATGCTGTAAGTCAAAATTAGGAAGGTCTCTATTGAACATTTCATCTCAAAATTTACCATTAAGTATTTGTTTTATCAACTTCAAAAATCATCCGTAAAGATCTGTGATGTTCATGCTCATTATTTAAGACTATTATCAGGTCATCAAAATAAATATTTACATCTTTAATTTGTCCAAAGAGTTCATCACTTTTTCTCTGGAAAAGTTCTGGCGCGTTCGAAATACCAAATGGCAAACGATTGAATTTATACCGCATAAACAGAGTATTGAAAACACAAAGATCTGAACTTTTTTTAATTCAATTTCAGCTGCCAAAACCCATGTTTCATATCTATAACAGTGAATATAATTTTACCTGTCAACTTACTTATTATATCTGTACTAGTTGGAATCATAGAATGCTTTCTCTTTAGGTATATATTTGTTCAAAGGTTTAGGGTCAATAGAAATTCGTAGTGGTTTTTCAGTTATTTTAAGGCTGTTAACCCAATCATCTGTATAGTTGGGGAGCTGGCGTCAAAAACATGCAAGAGTTTTCGCAAGGCGGATATTTTCAAAATAGGTCGTACTTTAGTGCTAGAATGCTAGTGTACAGTCAGCACTCACAGTTCCGGGACAGCTGGCTCTGGGACGCGGGCAAAGTTGTAATTTTAAGAAGCATCTAAACTGTTTTCTTAAAGCTCAAAATTTATAGAAATTTTGCACATTCAGTATCTGTTTGAAGGTCACATATAACGTATGTAAATCGTCAGACGTCTAGTTCGTTGCAAAAAGGGGGTCAGACGTCCTCAAAGTTTTTATTTTATGGCATTTTCTTCAAATATATTTGTCAAATACCTGCAAAAATATATTTTGACAGGACACCGAAGAAAATGCCATAAAATAAAAACTTTGAGGACGTCTGACCCCCTTTTTGCAACGAACTAGACGTCTGACGATTTACATACGTTATCTGTGACCTTCAAACAGATAATGTGCAAAATTTCTATAAATTTTGAGCTTTGAGAAAACAGTTTAGATGCTTCTTAAAATTACAACTTTGCCCGCGTCCCAGAGCCAGCTGTCCCGGAACTGTGAGTGCTGACTGTACACTAGCATTCTAGCACTAAAGTACGACCTATTTTGAAAATATCCGCCTTGCGAAAACTCTTGCATGTTTTTGGCGCCACCTCCTGGACTAGTAGGATAATTCACTCTTTCTATTATGTTTAGTTTTTCCATCTTTTCTAAAGTTGTTTTTGAAGTGTCAAGAATAGAAAAAGGAACTTTTCTGTTGCACTAGATTACAGGTGTAGCATTTTCCTGCAATTTAATACTGCAAAGTCCTAGGAATTTCCTCTAAACCTTCAAAAATATCTTTGTATATTGTATAGATTTCATCCTTCGTTTTAAATATCTGTAAACTATTGTTACAAATTAAATGAATTTGTTACTTTAAGATAAGATAACCTAGGGTCGTAGAATTCAAAAAATTAAGATAACGTGTAGTCACTTTATGTGCAAGTGAAACCACTCAAAATCCAACAAACAATAATTTTATTTGATATTTAACAATGTTATATGTAACATAGAGTTACTTTCTGTAAAATTTTAGTATTGACAGATTGGTTTTTCCGGTGAATCTGATACCATATACTTTTCCAATCTGGAGCTCTTCAATGGGTGTTGAGGTTTCACTTTCGTGAACTGTAGCTCTTCGTGTTGTTTCCTGTATCCAGGAAAGAGGATAGATTGCTGAGGTGACGTAACTCCAGCTGATCCAGACTCCAAACAGTGATCTTTATGTCGAGTAGGTATCCAGAAAAGAATAAGGCAGTATCAGGTTCACCAATATTTGGAATATTAAATTCCTCAATTCTGTCAAAAAGTGAGTGTCTTGCACAGGAAATTGAAATTGAGATTTAATATAAAACGATTGTTGTACAGACACTCCCTTCCAACAGAATCAGGTATGAACAGCTGTTGCAAGTTGAAGGAAAAAAAATATACATATTTTAATATAAAAAAATACAAATAAATAATTGAGAATAATGGTAAGATACTAATAAAATTGGAATAATAACAAGATTAAATTAAAATGCTCTGGCTGGCAAAAATATGAATAAAATAAGGTAAAGCAAGGTAAAGTAAGGTAAAACAAGAAATTAAATCTTTGGATTCTCCCCCAAATAGACAAAATTCCTTTCAAATTAAGGTAGCAGATAGCTACTATAGATACTACAAGATAAACCTGGGATTGAAATTAATCAAATCCAGAATATGTCAAAATTCTTGAGATGTTCTAATTAAAACTTTTTTCTGAATTTGTGACCTGTCTGGATTTCTATTAAAAAATTACAACTTTTAGTCGGAATAATAATTGACGGAGTCAAACAGAAAATGGCTATTCAGGCCTCTGTCTGGATTCAATAAAGAGTTGATAGGGATGGACACACAAATTTGGTTTTCACCGACTCTATTTAGAGCAAATGGTCCAATATTGCCACACTAACAATTGATTTTGAAAACCAGAGTAGTAGTACCTATTTAAGTCCAAAAGTCTGAATTAACTTACCTCAGGAAAACGTGGCACTATCAATCGGCACTCACACAAAATGGAAGCACACAATTAGATAAAAAAATATTAAAATATAATATTTATGTTTCAAGAACAGATAAGATAAGATTTATCAGGTAAAAACTTAACAATGATATGATAATATGAATTGATAGCAAAATATATTAAAAAATCTATAAGGGAGAATCCAAAAATACAAAGCAAAAATTATTCGAAATAAAGAGGACTCGTCTGCCAGACTTCTGTCGAGGAAAGAGAACGTTTTAGAAACAAAAGCCCACAGGAAAACGATCCTGTGTTTTTTAAACTTAACTGCATTTTAACCAGTTTGACCAATCAGACGAGTACACCCAAAAGATCATATTCACTTTACAATGAAATCACAATGAGAGACCGCGTGGAATAAAAGAGAATAGATAAAAATCTACTAGAATTATTTTGTTTACAAATTATAATAAATTAAATTAAGGTTATGTCAAAAATAAAAAAACTGCTAATTAATTAGGTCATTAAGCAAAAAAATGATTATTTCAGAATCAGAAGTTAGAGAAAGATAGAGATATTGGCTCAAAATAACACCTATAGCTGAGTAGCCTCCAGTAGGGGACCTCAGTACCTGCAGGTGGAACTGGTTAACTAACCAAAAACTCTTCAGTATTGAATAAAGGTAGTGTTGATTGAATGTAGTGTAATTTAAAATTAGGTACCGTCCCTGTCCTTGTGCTAAAATTTCAATTCCACACACTACATTCAATCAACACTATCTTTATTCAATACTGAAGAGTTTTTGGTTAGTTAACCAGTTCCACCTACAGGTACTGAGGTCCCCTGCGGGAGGCTACTCAGCTATAGGTGTTATTTTGAGCCAATATCTCTAGATTGATTTTTAAATTTGTTTGCTAGGATATTCGCTCGTCAGTGTTAGTAGATTCAACAAGGCCCTAATGTAAGCTCTGAATACCAAAAACTAAAATCCCAGCACAAAAAACAGCACATAATTTCTTTGGGTATAAA